AAGTGTGAGCCTCTATGGGTTATCTCACTTAATTCTCACAGTAACCATCTGAGGAAGTTATAATCACGTCTTCCTTTAGAAATGAGGGCCTTAAGGCTCAGAGAAGGGAGCAGCTGGTCCAGGGACACACAGCCAGTTAAGGGGTGGGGTGAAATTCAAATCCAGGTCCAGCTCAGGGCCCTGGGAAAATTGCCTCTTGGTTACTTCCACCTGAGCCCTTGGAGCTTCAAGGACTTAGTTTAGATAATTGTCAGGCCTTCGTGACAACTCTTATCCCCAGGAACTCCCCCCGCCCCCCGCCCGCCCCCACTACAGATCTCTGTCATCTGGCTGGAGAGCTGAGAGTGTTCAGAGTTCAAAGTCTCTCTCGAAATCTGGCCACCACTGGGGATATGGGCACCTGTCTGGTCTGCCTGGAGGGGAAGCTGTCTCATTTATTGGGTTTGAGGATCATTGATAAGCCACCTGTTCAGAGCCTTCTGGGTCTCAGCTGATTGGGACCTTGACTTTCAGGTTCTTGGCTGAAAAATCAAGCCAGAAAGGAGAGACCCTGGACCCAGGGAGAGATGGTGCAAGGGTCACTCAAGCTGACCAGCCGCCTTATCAGTCTGAAATCTTCTGATAAACCCTATCACCCGTGGGGAGTTAGTTGTCCCAAATCTGCCCTGGAGGCTGGAGCGTGGTTTTCCAAATCAACAGTACTGGCTGATCTGGGGACACAGGAACTCAGAGGTTTGGGAAACAGTGTTACTGACAACTCGGGTCACTGGGCTAAGAGCATTAGGTGTGTTGATTCCTTTAATTCTGCAGACGAAGCACTCTAAAAATGGGAAAACTGCAGAGCAGAGAGAGGGGAGTTGAGGAGAAAGGGCTTGGGCCCCAGCTTCTGGGGTCCATCTTGGTTTCATCAGTTTGCTCTCATCTGACAAGTCTGACCGGGGACTTACTCTTGTCCCTCAGTAGGGGACCAGATGCTGTCCCTGGCACTGGCCCCCTCTCAGAGCCCAAAGGTCAGCCAGAGCTGCCTGCCCCACACCTTCACACATCCTTTGGGTTGGTGTCCGAAGGAAGGGAAATCTTTTTGCCTCTTTGTCAAAGAACCAACCCTTGATCTTCCTTCATAGACCAGCTCGAGGGTGCCCTCTTCTGAGAAGCCCTCCCTGATTTCCCCCGCCCCAGTCATCTCTGCTGCCTCTGTCCTTGGGCCTTGCCTTTTTCACAGCAATAGTTTGGTGGTCAAGGGCTGTGGCTCTGGGCAGGCAGCTGGGATTCAAACGTTGGTTCTGCCTCTTTCTCAGGGTGGGACTTCAGCTTAGTCCCTTTACCATGCTAAGACTCAGGGTCTTCCTCCATTAAATGAGCTAACCATAGTGCCTCTGGTTTCTGTGAGACTACGTGAGGTCAGGTACATGCAGGGCCTGGCACAAAGTATTGGATGCAGCTGTTATCAGCAGTCGTAGCTAAAGACCTGTTCTTGACATCGAAGGTCTCAGGTGCTCAATATGGAGGGTAATCGGCCCTTAATAAACGTCCTAGTCCAGCTCAGGCAGGGCAGGGAAAGGGCGAGGGGGCATTCCCTTCACACCCTGCTCCCCCCTCCCTAATACACCAGTTTTTAGCTCCACCTTCTTAGTGCCTTTGCTGCAAGCAACAGGTGCCCTTTGGGATGATGCCCCCCTGTGGCTGAATGAGAACCTGCTCTGGGGAGAAGGGAGGGGCTGCAGTTACCGAAGCACGACCACAGGGGGCATGCCGGACAGCGCAGTCGTCCCCCTTGAGCTGAGAGAGGGAGGTCTTTCTCCCAGGTTCATCCAACCAGTTATTTGTTGAGGACCTGCTATGCATCAGGCACTGTGCCAGGGGCTCAGGGTGCACGAGTGAAGAACACAAAAGCCCTGCCTTCATGGAGCTTATCATCTAGCGGAGGGATGAAGAAAACAAACACACAGAATACATAATGCACCAGAGGGAGATCAAGAGGAGAAGGAAAATAAAGGACACAGGAATATCCGTGATGGGCAGGGGCCAGAGCTCTCCAGGCCTCAGTGAGCAGTTTCCAGCGATAAGCAGGGCGGGGGGGCGGGGGGCAGGGGGCCACGGGACAACGCATGAGGGCTTTGAAGGAAGCGATGGGTGTGGTGCCTGTTTGTGAACAGACTGCCGGGGCAAGGGCAGAAGCAGGGATCAGGGAGGTCAGGGCAGTTGTCGCCAGCGAGACAATGGAGGCTGGGCTGGGAGACCCCAGGGGAGGGACAATGGCTTGATCTGGGATGCACGTGCAGCTGAGCCCAGAGGACCTGCTGATGGACTGGATGTGGGGTGAGGCTCGGGGCCATGGGGGGGCGGAGAGACAGAGAGAGAGAGGTCACAGGTGCATGAGCTGCTCAGCCGGGGAACAGGTTGGACAGCAGAAGTCAACAGCGTGGTATCTGCTCTGCTGCCCAGCCCTGGCCCGAGAAGAGTGGACCCAGAAAGAAGGCGGGGAGGCCACAGCTACCGTCCAGGAACAGGAGCAAAACGCATTTAAAGAAGACCTGCCTTTATTTGGCCCTGGGAGGGAGAAGTCCTGAAGCAGTCCCCTCTGAACATGCTGGTGGCTAGGGCAGAGGGTGCAAAGCAGTAAACCCACCTTTCTGCACCAGCTGCTTTCCCCAGTGAGCTCCAAGTCAGCTTTAAGGGGCTCCTGGTGGGCATGGAAAGGGGCGCTGTTGCCCTGGAGGGCACTTTGGCAATGCCATCCAAAGCCATAGAGCTATGCCCGGCTTCCGCCCCACATGCTTGCTTCCTCCCGTGGTCACCTCCCGAGGAAGCGACCAGATGCATCCCAAACTGTACCTACAGGGTTTGGCCTGGTGGAGTTTGCAAGACCAAACTAAAACAATACACATGCTGCATGGTAGAGAACAGTTTGAACTTGGTGAGGCATCATCATCACAGTTAACTTGTGTTTTTCACTCAGCGCTTAATTTTAAATATCGTCCCATCAGGACAGGTCCCATGTTTTGCAATGTATCCTTGGCCCATGCAATGCCAGGAGATTCCCTTACCAACCAACCAATCCTGGGGATGACTCAAAATCCTCCCCCCAGATGAATGGAATGTCTAGTTGAGAACAACTGTCCTGAATTCAGAAGCCCCAGAAGCAGTGGTCGTAATCTTTTTAAAAACCTGCGATGGACCTTTCATCTGAGCCACCCAGAACAGAAAGCTAGGGCTAAAAACATCCTGGCCTGGCCTGGATCCAGACCAGCGTGATCTCTGGCTTGGTGGCTGGCAATCCCTCTGACCTTGGGCTAGACATCCAGTCCGTCTGAACTGCGGTGGCTGCAACAGTTAGATCAGGGCCTCACCCCCCCCCCCCCCCCCGCCCCGGGCTAGGTGGGAACAGGAAGAGCCCTTCGTAAATTCTTCCAGATGATGCAGGTTCTAAGTGGTGTTTTTATGATCTCTCTGGGTGTGTACTAATTAACGTCAGCAGAATTAACGTAAGCAGAGTGTAGGCATACAGGGCCGGGGGCTGGGGTGTATACAGATACAGGGCACAGCGGTGAAGGGCACGAGCCTTGGAAGCAGACAGACGGTACCTTGGCACTTACCAGCTGTGACCTGGGCTTTAGGTTTTGCACTGTAGTAACTACTGTTATTACAGTCCTTCAGAACAACCCATTAAAAAGTACAAAACTCTGTTGTCCTCATTCTGGTTTTTAATGGTCAAGGTGACAATAATTCACAAAGCTTTTCCAGACCCGCATTTAGTTTCCATGGTCACCTCTGCCTGCCTGACACGCCGTGGACCCTGCCCTGGGAGGCCCCCGCCAGTTGGGGATCAGACACCGCAAGCCACATCCCTTTCTCGGGATGGGTACCGGGTGAAAGCCCAAGCCCTTCCCTAGCTCTGGGGGAAGCAATATTCTTGTCTCGCCACACGGGTGAAGCAGGAAAGAGAAAGTGTGTGATGAGGAGTGCCTGGGAAGAGGGCTGAGGCACATTATTAGGATTCAAAACCAGGAGACTCTGAGTCAGTGCTCATTTGCAGTCTGTGGTTCAGCTGATAGAGTGGTGGAAGGACTTCCATCCAAGAGCCCTGTGATCCTCCTCTGCCAAACTCGCACAGGAAGCACACTTCTGGGGGGAGGCCTCTATCAGGGGGAGCTCCTGCCGGGGCTGCTGCCAGTCGGAAGGCAGCAGGGCAGAGAACTGCGCACAGGACCTGCACACTAGAGCCGTGGACACCGCACTCGCCCTCAAAACGGACTCAGCAGGAGCCTCTTGCAAACGCTCACACAGCGGAAGCGGCTTGTGGCTCAGGGAACCCACCTCCTCTTCACCATTTGATTTGCCCCACACCGTGAGTGGACAGCTCAGGGACACCTCAATTCCGTTTCTCTTCTCGGCCAAGATGCCCTACTCTGCCCTCATTGGGGCTGGCAGGAGCTGCTCCCCAATGAGGAGACACCCTGTCTGTCTCCCAGGTACAGAGCTCTGCACGTGGAGTAAATAAGGCAATGGCAGAGCGGCTGAGGAGATCAGGGCGCAAGGAGCCCAGATGAGGGAGGAAAGGGCTGGGGCAGGCGGGTGTCATCAGAACCCCAACTGGCCCAGGCCCAGGCAGCTCGAATTTCCCAGAGTTTGAGTGAAAGGAGCACAGGGAAGCACTACTTTCACTTGAAGGGCTCGTGTGCCTCTAGATCTGACCTCACACTTCAGGCCCTCCTGCTGCTGCCATCTGATCCAGGCAAGAGGTTTGCTCTTGTGGGAGGAGGTGGCTACAAAGCCGCTTTCTTCAAGTGCCCGACTCCCTGCCCAACAAAGGGGGAAACCCTCCACCAGTCATCTCAGGGATGGTGGGTGGACACTAGTGGATGGGTGTTGTGGGCCACAAGCAAGTTTTAAGCAGAGATGATGGAAGGGAGGCTCCTCCCCACACACCCTGGAAATTCATGTGATTTTAAAGCAATCAAAGCCGGCTTCAGTGGGAGAGGTTCCGTACAACATGCTGGTGATAGTCCTTCAATTTTTTTGGTTATTTTTATTTTTTTCTTTAAAGTCCATTGATCGTCACAAAAACCCAGGAAATGCAACTAAGGAGAAAACAAATGTCCAACCAAGATCTAAGAACCCAGAGCTACGGAGGAGACGTGGCCCTGGACTGCTGGGTATGCAGGAGGGGGTGGGAGGGGTGGTCCCCATGGGGCAGCGGGCCATGGGAGACGCAGGAGGGAGAGGAGGCTGCCGGCCAGGCGGGCGGTTATGTTAATCGCTGCACGATGACGGCGTTGAGCAGGTTGGCTTCCTTCAGGGTCTGACTCTCGTCAGCCAGCTCTTTGTTCGGGAAGGTAGTCATGAGGACAAAGCTGGTGGCAGCCATGGCCGGCCGGGCGTCCACGATGAAGAGTCGGATGTCGCTGATCCTGGTGGAGTGGGGGTGAGTGGGGAGGTGGGTGAGCAGGGCCCTTCTCTGCTGTCCACGACCCCTGGCCATCCTTCTCCACAGGGCAGCCAAAACACTCATTTGGAAGCACATCAGATCTTGTCACTCCCTTGCCTAAAAACCTTCACGGCTGCTCGCCGTCTCTTGGGATAAACACCAACCGCCTTACTGTGATCCCAAGCCCTACCTACTTTGACACCACCCTCCTTCCCATTGTTCTCGATCTTCCTCCTCCTAGATTTTCACCATGCTGGGCTTTCTGCCCACTCTGGGGTCCCTCCTCCTAGAGGCACCCCTGCCTGACCCATCTCCTGTAATCCTAATCACACTCGTTGCACAACTTAGCCCGTATGACACCCCTGTCAGCACTCAAGGACTGTCAAGCCATTCCCTAGGCCCCACATGTGCTTCCAGTTTAGTTGGCCTGTGACTGATGAAATTTAGATACTGCTATTCTAGAAAAAGGAGTTGCCAAATACCTATAATACCAGTAACAGTCCTCCCCTGCTAATCTCTTCAATCTCTCCGTGCCTCAGTTTCCCCATCTTTAAAATGGGGTTGGCACAGTTAGCTTTGATCCAGCCCAGATGATCTGAAACAGTAGAGCAGGTATTCTAGTATTCTCAAAGGGCAGATCTAGAAGAGACTTTCACAGCCCAGTGGTTTTCAAAGACCCCCTGGAGGGCGCTGGGTGGAGGAAGCCAGTTGGAGGGGATGCCGGCACTGTGCCCCCCTCCCCCTCCATCAAGCACGGCAGTTCAGATTTTATTCTGCTGCACCTGGGCTTTACCATGAAATTTCCTGTGAACAAATACTGGGGGTGTTAAAAAGACCCTGAGAATTCCAATCCCCTAATTTTACAGGTGAGAAACAAGACCCAGAGCAGGGAAGCGAGCAATTACTGGCCACACTTAATGCAAGGGCAGGGACTAGAACCAAAGGCTTCAGACCTGCAGACCTTCCCCTCCCACTGCCTCCTTCGGGGACAGCATGGCGTGCCTGCTGGTGTTTAGGGGGCCCTCCCAGAATAAGCGAGGCCAGACGGCGCAAGGCACCTGTGGCTGTGGTTGAACTTCTGCACCAGCCTCCCGCCGTCGGCGAGCCGAATCTGGATGTTTGTGGTGGGCTGGGACTCGTCGATGGAGACGGAAGAGCTGGCTTTGGCTTCGTTTTCCGCCTGCTGCGCTGGAGAGCTGGTATTCAACACCTGGGGGGCCGTGCTGAGGAGAGAGAGCACGTCAGGCCGCACAGAGGATCAAGGGCCCTGCAGGAGGGCAGTCCTGCCTCAGAGTCAGCCTGAGCACTCGCTGTGTCCAGGACCACGTGTGCCGTTGCTGCCACAGGGAGCGACCGAGACAAGCCCTGCCCTTGTGGCACCTACCTACGGGCCCAGCAGAATGCGCTCAGACCCTGAGCTGCTGCTAGCTTCCTCACTCCTGAGGCACCTGGGGCAAGTGACTCACCCCCTTCTTCCTGGGTGTCCTCACCTGAACGAAGGCTGAAAGGGAGCAAAGCAGTATGCATGACAGCCTGCAGCGGGACCAGACCAGGCTGAGTTTTAGCCTCAACGAGAGAGGGCAGTCCAAGTCTGCAGCCGAGGAGGGCCCGACACAGCCTGGCAGGTGACTGCCGGGACGCAGGGACCAGTCCAGACTCCTTTCCTGTCACAGAATCTTCAGGCCTGCACTCCCTAGTGCAGCCGTACTTTGTGCCCATTTATTCTCCTGTGTCAACTATCAGAAGGGGGCAGAGATTTCCCACAGGCCGACCAAGGACCCCGCACCGTAGGGATCATTTACACAGCAGAACAGGACATGGTGTCTGCTGCACTGTTTAGAGCTCAGATCTTAGATCCGATGGCCCGGGGTCTAAATTCACCCACTAGCTCTGCAGTGCTGGGCAAGTTACTCAAACGACCTTAGTTTCAACAAGAGTCATAACGAGGATCTTGAACAAGGGTTAAGGCTATGTGCCTTACTCAGTTTCTATGAGAGATAAACGAGAGAGCTACACACAGCACTGACATATACAAAATGAACCCCCAATTCTCGGGGTGCCTTGGCTGGCTCAGTCAGTTCAGTGTCCTACTCCTGATTTCTGCTCTGGTCATGATCTCAGGGTTCTGGGATTGAGCCCCACATGGGGCTCTGTGCTCAGCGTGGAGTCTTCTTGTCCCTCTCCCTTTGTCCCTCCCTTCTAGTGCACACGCTCGCTCTCAAATAAATAAAATCTTAAAACACAAACTCCCAATTCTCCACAACTGTTGGGAGATTTCATTCCTCTCCTGTAAACGCCCAAGCATCTCACTTCCAGCCTTTCTCTTAGCAGACCCGAGCCCAGACCCATGCAGAGAAAAGGCCATGAGATGCCAGCTTGTTTGCTTCCCCAAGCCTCTAATTACATCAGTTCTTAAACCTCTCCCTTCCCCCTGGATCTTTACAAGCTAAAAACGGTACCTGTAGCAAATCCAACAGAAAGTGCTTTCCCAAGTCTGTTTTCTGGGACCCTAGTCCCTCCACAACCCAGGAAGGTTGTGGAAATGCCACATAACAAACTGGAAGCATCAGAAGCCACTTGCATATTAAACGTCTTGAGAGACTGTGCAGTTAAGGCAAACTTACTTAACCACCACATCCTTTTTTCATAGGACACCTGTTAATCCTCCTGCACACAGTGTGCATGTGAAACACCGCCCCAGAACACACAACTAGCTTATTCTGTTCTGTAAATGTGAAAATGAGGACTCAGAGAATCACCAAGTAGAGTTCAGGAGAGAAGCCTGGCCACACTTACCAGCCGTGAGAGGAGCTGCTTCTACGCATCAGCCTCCCAGCATGTGGGCCAGGGCACACAGAGAAATCACAATACCACAGACTTCAAGAGATGCTCAGGAACAGTGGGAAGTCCAACGTTACCCCTGTAAATGCCTAAGACTGACTCTGTTTTGCTCAGGAGTTTCATGGGCATTAGGTCAACCGTCTAATTAAGACTGTAGGTGGCCTGTTCTTCAACTGTTTTATGTAACATTTCCAAGGACGGAACAGGTACTCAGTGAAGCTACTGCCTGCCAGAAAGGGAACTCTCACATCTTCGGTCAGGCCTACAATGAGAGAGAAGCTATTCCAAGAGAGCCCAGAGTATCCCTTTGGGCAAGGGTGGGGAAGGCAGGGACACGGGAATGGCGTTCATTTTGCTCACGCACTGTCTGGGGGGGTTTGATAGCCACAGCCTCATGACTCATCACAACCGTCCTTTGAGATGGGCATGGTCTCCATTTTATGGATGAGAAAACAGCAGTGCATGTTGTAGGCAGTTTCTCAATTTTTAAGAACGTACGTGACGAACAAGCTTTCTCCCTCTACATTCTGTGTGTTCCTACCAGCCAGGACTTTGTCAAACTTCACAGTCTATGGTTTACTTTAAGAACAAAAACCCTTTCTCAAACTTGTCCCCTGCTCCCAGAGAATCTGATACACCCCTCACTCATGAGCTGGGTGACCCTCAGCTAGTTAGTGAACATCTGGGCTTCTCAATTTCCTTTTCTGTAAAAGGGGAATACTACCCCTATCCCACCTCTATACCCCTTAATGCAGGCAGTCCACTACATGGCAGCCATCCCTCTGAAGGAGAGTCAGTGTGATGGCTGGAGAAACAGCACGGGACCGGCCATCACCAAGCTGGGCCCCAGGCTGAGTATTTCACACGCAGTGGTTCATTTAATCCTCAACGGCGTGTGAGGTAGGAATTCATCATTTCTACTTTATAGGTGAGGAAACTGAGGCACAGTAGGATTAAGCAATGTACCCAAGATCTGTGTTGGTTTGAGGTGAAGCCAGGACACAATCCAAGCTGCCTGGCTCTTGTCCTGTGCTCTAACACCTGCCATACTCTCCTGCCAAGCCTTGGAGTCAGGCAGACCTAGACCTGGCCTTACGGAACACTGCCCCCAAGACACAGTTTGCTCTCGATAAAATGGGAGTTAAATGAAATTTCTGGTTGAGATAACAGCTAAAAATAATGCACCGTATCCAGCAAATACTAGGAACACAAACAAATGCCTATGTGGCTATGTAAGAACATCCCAGATGCAATGCAGCATGGCAGGTAAGAGCAGAGACTGGAGGGAACCTATCTCTGCAATGACCAGCAGTGTGACCTTGGGTGCGACCTGACCTCTTCAAGGCTCAGAGTCTTTATTTGTAGACTAGGGATTGAAACAGGATTAAAAGTGATAACACATATAAAATGCTTACTCCAGTGCTTCGCTAACAGCAGAAAAACACTCTAAGGGCGCCTGGGTGGCTCAGTTGGTTAAGCGACTGCCTTCGGCTCAGGTCATGATCCTGGAGTCCCGGGATCGAGTCCCGCGTCGGGCTCCTTGCTCAGCGAGGAGTCTGCTTCTCCCTCTGACCCTCCCCACCTCATGCTTTCTCTCTCTTTCAAATAAATAAATAAAATCTTTAAAAAAAAAGAAAAGAAAAACACTCTAAAAGCCGATTACTATCATTCCTCAAGGTCTTGCCCCACTTATATTATCTATATTCTGGACCCAAATCAGCTGGAGAGGTTACTGCCTAGCCATGGGCTGCAACTGGAAGGTCACCTAAGGGGTACTCCCAATCTACACAGCCCTCAAGGAGGGTGAGGACTGGAGTAGGAGGAACCTCTATGCCAGATTTTATGGTTCTTATTTGTAGCAAGACACTCAAAAAGTAGTAGGTCCAAATTGCTCTAGTTGTGCATGATAGCCACGTGCATTGGTTCAAGGGAACTCAGCCTTGGGTCTGGTGTTTCCGGAGAGCTAACACTTGAGCCATTCCTCGAAAGGAGCGGCTGAGTCATCTGAGGCAGTGAAGGCACTTTACCCAGGAACAGGAATGGTCAGATCAGACATCCAGAAGTTTCTTTACTATCTTACTGCAAATATCATCCAACTCACAGGGCAACAGAGCCTCACCCAGATCAAGAGCCTGAATCACCCAATTGCTCATTTCCTTTGTAGTCGGGAATTAACTGGGCACTAAGGTGCTTTGTTGTCACAACTGTTAAGTGCTGACACCTTGCCATCTCTTTACAAAATGACCACTGCAGAAAGCATGGTGAGCAGCCGAAACTCAATCCAGGTAGCAGCAAACCCACACCCCCCAGGGCGTTCTTGGTGTTTGCTACTCATAATCAAATAAATGCAGTCTTTCTGGACCTTCAGATTAGTTCCCATCCAAACAGATGTAAAACCTAAAACAACAAAGTTTAATACAACCCTAAGAATTTTCTCAAATTTTTGAACTGGTAACAGTTTATTCATTCAGATAATTGGAGAAAAAAAACCCAGGACTGACTGATTTTTGAGGCAAACCTGAGAACATTTTCTTAAACTTTTGGCTCTTGATCATTTTAGTTGACAAGATGACAATGGAAAATGTTGCAAAATTTATGGGAAAAACTAGAAAACGCTGCCCATCTGGTTTAGACTGAAAAGCTAAAACCTTACTTAACTTATAAAATCTCATTTAGCTATATAAAACATGTCTTTTGTTCATTTTTCATAGAAAGCCAAGCTGAAATAAAATGAAAGTGGCACTGGCAAAGAATATTTAGCCAGCAAAATCAAGCTCGTCAAGCACCTGATTAACAAGATTTGTCTCAACTTGTTGGATTCATCCTCCACAGCCGCAGAGAGGACCACTCTGAGGACAGCTGTCTTGGGACTAACCTGCAGGCCCAATGCAGTAGACAAAATGAGAGCAGGCTAGACTTACTATTTGGGTCCTGGGAAATCAGTCTATTGGTCTCTAATGTCCCGAGCTATTATTTTGCTCCTGATAAGGCATGAATGGCCAACAGGGAGGTCAGGGATTCCAGAGGGCCCGGCTGAAGCTCAAAGGGCGCAGCTGCTGGCAGACCACACTCTGATCCCTGCAGATGGTGGTGAGGTGAGCATGGGCAGTGCCTACCTCAAGAGCTGCCAGATTAGGTCAGAGAGGGTGCTTGCTGTGCAGGTATGGGAAGAAATGCCAGTCAGAAGGCCTGGGTTCCAATCCTGGTTCCACCACATACCAGTCATGCACCCAAGCATGACCCTTAGAGTCCAACAATCTCAGTGTTCCTTCTGGAAAATGATTGTACCAGCAGGGAGGGTCACGATTCCCTGAGTGCCTCTTCTGTGCACAGTTCTCCCTGAAGAATACTGACCAAGTGACCCCATGGACAGAGATGAGTGGGCCTCTGAGAGAAGGCAGCCTGAGTATGGGTTGGCCAAGGTCTGGTGGGAGAGCTCTGCCTATCAAAGGCAAGAGTGACTTCGACCAATCAGATCATACCAGGGGTCTGAACGCAAGATGGAGGCAGCGGCAGAGGACACAGGCAGAAAAAGTCACAGGAAGTGACAATGAGTGTCAGGCAGGGCCAAAAGAGGAGAGATAAGCGCCACCATAATGGTGGAGCATCAGCCTGCACAGGGCAATAATGTCCCTGAGCTTCCCTGGATCCTGAACAAAGCTGCTGTGAGGCTGGGTTGGGTGACAGAGTCCAAGATTTCTCATCCCTCCAAACCCCCATTTCAGGTGACCCAGGAAAATGTGTCTGTTTCAGCCATAAGCCATGAAGAAGACTACTGCCATGAACATGCTAGATTACGGAATCTAAGCAGCAACGTATGACCCGTCCTGCTCACACTGACTAACTGCTTACACTGGGGCAGCACTCTGTGCTCCTCACAGTGACTAAGGAGGGAAGCACTCATTTTATCAGTCACATTTTAGCACTCGAAGGTCATAGGGCTAGAAAGTGAAGAAGAAATTTTAAACTCAGGTCTTTTAACACCAAAGTCCATGTTCTCCACACTCTTCCTCTCATACAAATGAAATATGCAGTACTCTGTAACAGTGACGAGCTACATGTCAAGTGAGTGAGATACAGGGTCTGCGGGTCTGGTAGAGGTACCAGCATGTCCCGCTTCCGCCCGTGCTGCCCTTACCTGCCCAGTTTCTGACCCTCTCCAGTGAAGGCTTTGAAGGCTCCCTTGGGTTTCACAAAATCCTCATCCCGATGGTCTTCCATGTCCAAATTCACCTGCCCACCGTGAGCTAACCTCCGTAGCTCGGCTGGCACCTCCCTGCAGAAGAAAAGACAACGCTGGGGTCCACACAGAGCAGCACGGGAATGGCAGTGATGGGGGCAAAGGGAGGAGAAACGTCCCAGTTCCAAATGTGAAAATCGCTGGGCCTCCATAGGAAGCGGCTACTTTAGTGGCTACTGTCTGCCTCCCACTTGTCTCTCACCTGCTCAAAGTCACAGTTGAGACCTCTATCTTAGTTGGTCACTTGGTTCTGTCCCAGGCCCAGAAGGGAAAAACAGACACACAAGGTTTTAGATCTGTGAATCTGTATTTCAACTGTGTTAAATCTGCTTAAAATTTTTTACTTCTTGGGGCGCCTGGGTGGCTCAGTTGAGTATCCAACTCTTGATTTTGGCTCAGATCATGATCTCAGGGTCCTGAGACTGAATCCTGTGTCGGGCTCTGCACTGGGCGTGAACCTGCTTGAGAGTCTCTCTCTCCCTCTGCCTCTCCCCAAGCTCACGTATGCGTACACGTGCGCTCTCTCAAAATAAATAAATAAAATTTTTAAAAAATGGGGGCGGGGGGGCAGTGTGCCTGGGTGGCAGAGCCAGTTAAGCATCCAAGTCTTGGTTCTGGCTTGAGTCATGATCTAAGGGTCATGGGATGGAGCCCTGCGTCAGGCTTCGTGCTCAGTACAGAGTCTGCTTGAGATTCTCCCTGTCCCTCTGCGCCCCCCCCCCCCGCCTGTACTCTCCTGCTCTAAAATAAATACATAATCTTAATTTTTTTTTAAAAACTTCTTAAATAATAAACATTTCAATCAGCCTCTCTTTTCCATCTGCCATTCCACTCACTGACATGGAACCCAGAGGAAGGCTTCTCTGCTCACCCTCTGCGAATCGACTCCAGAAACTGGGCATTGGATGGGTCTTGGTAGCTTCTGAGTTCACCATTGTCCAGGCTGAACCCACTCTTCCAGAGCTTCAACACTACATGAACCTGTGACAATAGGAGGTAGCAGTCCATACATTGTCAGGAAACTGGCAAGCACACCAATGTGACCCTGTAAATTAGCAGGTTCTTACTATTTTCTTGTGTCATTATCAAAACACAGACACACCACACACACGCACGCACGAGGAAATCTATCAACCACCAAGTATTAATTTAAATAAGATGATATGGCAACAGGTTAAGAGCAGGGACTTTGATTTAAGCAGACCTGGGTCTACATCTCAATTTTGCACTCACCAGGCTAAGTGGCTCTGAGCAAGTGACCAAGTCAAAGCTGTGGCTTATCTGTAGGGTTGCCAGTGTGCTTGGCATGTAGCTCGTGCTCAACTAAGCTGCCATGGCAAATTTACTCATGGGACTATTTTGCAGTCATTACAAATGCTATCTACAATCTCTGTTAACTCCCCATACATGTTCACAGGAAAGGGTTGAGGCTACAAACCAACATATTAGCAGCTGCTGCCTCAGGTGCATAGTTTTTATTTTCTTCTTGTTCGACTTTATTTTGGAATAAAACCCAAAATGATTAAAAACAAATACATAACAGAAACTAATGGTCACAAGGCCAAACATCTGTTTATGACGTAATATTAAATTCACAAACCTCACAATTATCGATATAGTATGAAACACTTATTGGTGAGGTGACCCTATACAGAGAAAAAAGGACTGAACAATAGTAAGGAAAATTTTTTCAAAGTTGTGTTTTAGGCCTCCTTGGATGGACTGAAGACTAAGTTCTTTAGCCATGTCCGCAGCACCAGAAAACCCCAGAATCATGATCCCTCTGCATAAGCTTCGTGGAATGCTCAGACAACGCCTTCATTTGTCCGTCTCCTCTGCTCAGCCCTTCTTAGGAGTACCCCGCCCAGTCAGGTAAATCCTCTCCATCCAAGGACCACAGTAAGGTGGCCTCTTCCCTCTCAGAGGCTGCTGGTGCACACGTAACATGTGACCAGTCGCCTCTGAAAAACGGCAGAACAGTCTATGAGCTTCCCAAAGAATGGAGACGCACACTCACATCCTGGCCGGAATGCCGCCTCCTTTCTCCTGCCACGTAGGCAGACTCTTCTTCCGGTGCTGCCCCAAGGCGATAGCCACCCCCTGCAAACGGCTATAAAACACAAGTTCATAAACACTGAGGAGACAGGCAATGGTGGTGGGTCACTCACATACAATGACATACCGCAAGCCTGTTACCTACTAGGTGCACTTGCTCTGGTACTGAACTCAGAGCCACAGGGCCAGGCAGTATGGGAGATGAATGAAGTGACCTGGACTGGTGAGAACGGGGGGGGGGGAGGGAGCGAGCAGGCAGAGGGCACTGCTTGGCTAAAGGGAAGAGCTGCTACTACGCTCTGGTTAATTATGGTCATGCAGGAATCTGAGGGCAAGGTAATGCCAAAGACTTTGACTTTCCCAAAAATGAGAGAAATCTAGAATTTATGTAGCACAGGTGGCTACTAATTTAATTAAAACAAAATAAAGTAAAACACTGAGTAAATAAAGTTGGCCAAATACAACATGTGTATAGGACCTGTTCCAACCCACAGGCCTAGATTTGAAAACTGCCTCAAATCTTGATTTCATGTTAAAAGGTGAAACAAACCGCATTGCTCTTGCACCTATAAGAACAAGTGAGCAATGAAAGACAAAACAAATTCAGTCACTACTAGGGTGAGAAAGGGCTCCCCCCAGCCCCCCAAAACCAGAGTCTGGTGGCCACAGACAACAACCCCCTACGCTTACTCTCGGTTTACTGGCTTCTCCAGGGCTCTTGGTCACTCGCTCCACAGCTACAGCTCCATGTTCCTTGGCACCTTTAAAGAGATCATCCACCAGCTCGTTGGGACTTTTCTTCCTGGGAGGGCCGACAATCTGCTGTCCACTTCTCTCTGAGCCCCCGGCATAAAACCTGTACAGAAAACATGTGTCTTACACTAAACGCACTTGGAAAACATGAATACAGCATGTGCCAGGCTCTGGGCTAGGTGCTAGGAACACTGAGGTAAAGGACGCAATGCCCATCTTTAAGGAATTTACTGTCTAACTGGGGAAACAGGTAAGTAGGCAGGCAGGCATAATGCAGTGTGAACAGCAATGGAGGTCAGTAAGGGGTGCTCTGGAGCACTGAGCTGGGGAGGATCTTCTGGGCTGAGTCTTGAGGATGAGGATATGTTTATCATGTGACGAAACCAGGAAAGGGCATTCCAGGCATGCATGACAACATGCCAGCTCCAGAAAGAGTCCCAACTGGGAATTATCCATCCGCTGGCCAGCACCCTTCTCGGAGATGGCAACTATGGTCACGGTCAGAAGCAGCTGCGACTAGCAGCTCTAGGTTAATAGTGGCAGTGGCGTGGTTAGTACAAGCAGCTAGGCTCCAGTGTTGGCTGTGCCGCTGAGTGACCCTGGGCAAACTGGTGCAGTGCCCTGTATCTCATTTTCCTTATCTTTGAAATGGGAGGGAAGGACCACATGCCCTACCTACCTGCTCCTTAAGTCAGGGCCATGAGGTTCAAATCAGCGGATGTATGCAAAAGAACAAGCACAGAGTAATGCACGCATGTAAGGTGGTGTGATAAAGCACAGAGAGCTCACTCAAGCTTCACCTCACCTTGCTATTCTGGTGATATCCACTGGGGGCAATGAGAAGATGGTACTGAAGAAGGTCAGGGAAAGCCACATACAAGCCCCAAGATACCCACACCAGGCTCTGCAATGGGCCACGTATGGCTTGAGATTAAGTTAGCAGTTTTTAACCTGGTTCTGAAAACCAGTACTCATGTAGCCTGGCTAGCCACCTGCTTGTCGCTCCTATTCACTGCTAGGTCAATGGCATGTCTCTCAGTGGGGAGAGCTGAGAACCTATAAAATTAGTCTCAGCCTTCTATTTCCCGACATTCCACTGAATGCAAGGCAAGCCACGGGCCTAGACAAGGACAACAGCACCAATGTCATCAGGTCTGAAATGCTGAGGGGCTGAGGATGTAATCAGGATGTGAAATAAAGGAAGGTCATCACCTGGAGGATGTGACAGGACAGGAAAAGGAGGCAGCGGCCATTTAGAAGTTGGGCATTCACATACTTGATGGCATTGCCTTTCACTCAAGGAGTGTAAAACTCTGAACCTTGAATGTATCTAAAAAGAAGGCTGTGAGGCAGTGTAAAGGTCACTATATGGATGAAAACAGAGAATAGAACACATGTAATTTCTCAGCCCGCTTCCCAAAGAGTGACCATGATGAGATAATTACATTTCCCTACGAGTTACTATAATGATCATTAAAAACGTCTCACAGACCGAGGCAGGGCCCATGGGGAACTAAAACCCGTGAAATGAGGCTGCAGATGAAGTTCTGCTCAGTGGACTGAAAGGTCTTTATTATGGAATCTCAAAACCTTGGCTTGTGAACTAAGAGCCTGTGATCAAGTGTTTAAGAATATTCATTCCCTTCACCTGCACTTTCATTTCTACAAACTACTGTAAGAAAATAATCTGAAATGTAGCCAAAGATTAATATACAGAGATGGTCACAGCACTGATATTTACGATAGTAAAAAAACTGTCAAAAACCTAAATATTGGACAATCCATATGATGAATTATTATTACAGTTGTTGAAAACACTAATGAACCTTAATGGCATGGAGAAGTACTGAAGAAATAGCATTAATCCAATAAAAACAAGAAACAAAATTATTTGACTGTCACCATGTAAAATATAATACCAAACAAAGTACATTTATATACAGAGCAAAGACTGAATAAAAATATGCCAAAACATTAACTCTAGTTACCAAGGGGTGCATGAGTGTTACATTTTTTCAGTATACTGTTCTTTTTTTTTTTTTTTTTAAGATTTTATTTATTTATTTGAGAGAGAGAATGAGATAGAGCATGAGAGGGGGGAGGGTCAGAGGGAGAAGCAGACTCCCTGCTGAGCAGGGAGCCTGGACTCGATCCCGGGACTCCAGGATCATGACCTGAGCCGAAGGCAGTCGCTTAACCAACTGAGCCACCCCGGCGCCCTTTTCAGTATACTATTCTGTATCTTCCACAACGGACACTATTTTTATTACAGTATTCCTAACGGTTAAAAACAGACAAACAGTATGTGTATGTGTGTATACTGGGGGAATACGCACCGATAAGGCTTTCTATTCTGTTTATTATGTAATATATTGTCTTTTTAATTAAAAAGAAAAACCTGGAAAAATAAACACCCAAAATATTGATACCTGGTGACCACTGGGTGACCAGGTATTATGAATAACTTTCTTTTCCTTCTTATTGGTTCCCTTCCCCTAACACTCCTTAACAAATACATATTCTTTTAATAATTAAAAAAAGAAAAACCCAGAATACCCCAAAAGAAAAAAATAGTAACAGAGGAAAGGGATGACTTCTAAGCTACAGGGAGTGGGAGACTGTTTCTAGAATATAACCACCCAGACTAACCCACAGTAGTAATGGCTAATGATAACCGAGCACGTTATCCTTCTAGGTCCTTCTAGATGGTTTACACATTATCATGGACTTTCCTGTGGACTGTATACCCCACCAACAAAGACTCACCTCTGGCCCTCTTCCTCCTCTTCCTCCTCATCTTGGTCATGAATGAGGTCTCTGAAGGATGTCACCCTATTATCGCTGGAGACACAGAAAGGAGCAAAATGATATCAGGGAGAGTTAAACAAAAGTAACCCCCATTATCAGCTGCTAAGGAGTTGAGGTCATAGGGGTTAGATTCTTTTTTTGGTGGGATCTACGTGAAAGAGGGTTAGCCTTTCTATCAAAATAATGTGGCATTTTTCTTCACGGTAACGCAGGACTGCAAACAAATTAGGAAGGACTATTGTGAAATAAGATGGAGTCCAATTTCAGCTCTCCTAGACGGAGAAGAGGGAACAGTATGGGGTGTATGGAGATATGGGGTATGTACTACTTTAAAAACTTACAATTGGATAGCTGTTTTCAACATTTAATTCTTATTACTTTTTTTAACAGATTTTTATTATTTTTAAATAATTTCCACACCCAACGTGGGGCTCGAACCTACAACCCCGAGAGCAAGAGTCACATGCTCCATTGACTGAGCCAGTCAGGCACCCCTCATCATTTAATTTTAAATACTGAACTGGATACTAGGTCTATAAAGATGATCAGACACAGTTCTTATTCTTGAGTTGCTTATAGGCTCATGGCCCCTAAGCCAGGAAACCATCTGTTATATACTGTGCGGTATGGGCTGTGGCAGAGGGAAGCACATGGGACACATGGGTACAGAATGTCCTGTCCCTCGTGGGGTGGGGATGGGGGAATACCAAGAAAGGTTTCCTTGGAAAATGCAACATTTGGACTGTGAGCCAAAGAATGAATGGACCATCAGTCATCTTTGGACCATCAGTCAGGTGGATAGAGGGCAGGAGGCTGGTGGGGGTAGGGAGGCACTGCAGGGAAGTGGTATATGCACATATACAAAGTACCACATTCTAGGAAGGACAAGCTATCAAGAAGTGAAAAGGAAATGTGTATGTGGCTCAGGACGCCTCTGCTTCTGCTGCAGGTTAGTCAAGAGAAAGTCTTTATTGGTGTTTAGGAAAAAAGCAGAGCTGTCTGTGGGGCTGGAGAGGGCACAATAAAAATGGGTGTGAGAAGAGTCACCTTCCTCCTCTGACTTTGTTTTACACTGTCACTTTTTTTCTAGCTTAGAGTGTCCTCAAGGAACTTAGGAATCATGAGACACATTTTATAAAAACATTTTCTGTATTTCTTAGGGCAACAGGTAAGTTCTTTATAAAATGGTGGTGGTGGGGGGATAACACAGGTTTACTGAGGCTAGACTGAGAAGCCTCAAGGAGTTATTTTCTAGGGAGAAAGCTCCAGTTCAATCTTGAAGATTTATATCAAGGAGACAATCAGAGGACAGAACAGGCTTTGAAGTGCCATCAACTAGAAAGGAGAGAACAAAGACCAATTAATGTAGCAAATGCATTCCCTGCTTGAGTTAGCTGAGAGCAACCTCCTGGGCATTCCTGGATGCTCTATATGACATAGTTCAAAAGGATCCAAGTGATAGATGTGCACTATGGCCCTGAAAGGCTAATTTCACTCATTAATCTTCCCAGGGGTTTTTCCACAGATGTTCAGGCTAGCATCCATGGGAAAAAAGCCCTCTCTCTGTTGTTAAACACCTTCAAATACCACATGTACACGTGCTTGAGCAAACCACTTACTCTGGCAGCAGGTTTGATTCTTTCTCCGAAAGTTCTCACATCCAGACTCTGACACTATCTGACACAGACTCTGGTGTCCATATACCTGGTTCTAATCCCAAGTGAGCCCACCTGGGGATCTGGGGCATGCTAATGAAGTTCTCGAAGTCTTCGTGTTCTCATGTGCCAACAGGGCCAATCACAGCACCAACCCCTCGGGCTTTCTGTGAGCTGTCGGGGCACTGAGCCTGGTGCAGCACATTGCAAGTGCTCCTCTCAAGCAGTGGTTCTCAAAGTGCTGGTCCTTAGACTGAGAGCATCAGCAGTATCTATGAGACTGTGAGAAATGCCAGTCCCCAGGCCTGCCTCAGAGCTCCAGAGTCAGAAACTTTGGGAGGAGTGCCCAGCACCCTGCATTTGAGAAACTCTCCAAGTAATTCTGACACACGCTTAGAGCTGAGAGCTGCTCTGGGGTAGTGTTCTGAGAGTTACCTTAGGCATGGACGTCCAGGGGACACCATCAATTTGAGAACACTTTGTCCTTTGTCCTCCACAAAATGGCAAAATGTCTCAGAAATTTCAATTTTTCAGCATCCCTGAGTACCCTGGCACCCTGAGTACACAAAAGTCCTTTGTCAGATCCATTTCTCATAGTGATGGAAATGTTGTACCTATGCTGTCCAGTACGGAAGTCAAAGTCACATGTGACTTCTGAGTATGTGAAATGTGATCAGTATGGATAACTCAATGTTTTATTTAATTTTAACTAATGTAAACAGCCACATGAGGCTACAGGCTCCTTCACTGGATAGTATAGTTTTAGAGAATCAGAAAATGGCAGTCCCTGGCATCCTAAGAAAGTAGAGTTAAGTTGGATGAAAGAAAAAAAGGAAGAAACTCACCGCTACCTCTTGCTCTACCCTGTGCTAGGTACAGGGGTGGGAGGCGCTGGACAAGGAGGTAGTATGTGGCAGAAGCAGCTCTGTATATGCACAGACTTGGACCTGAATCTGCCGTAACAGCAGCTGTGAGTTACTCCATCTTTCTAAGACCCAGCACCTCACCTACTTCCAAAGTTGTTGAGGCATAACAACATAGGTTAAGACTACCTGGCAGAGCTAGACAGATGGTGGCTGCTCCTGAAATCCTAGCCCTCCCACTTCCAGGAACTTAAAATTTCCTGAGAGAGAAAAAGCGAAGTTAAAGATCAGGAGAAGAGTTCAAGACGACCCACAAGAGATGTCACCAAGAAGTACCTGGATATGGGTCAAGAAGCGAATGAATTATAGGTGACTGCATTTCTGAGTAACAAGACCATGGCATGCTGCCTATAGGTTGGGGATAATGCACTCAAAAGAGAAGGTAGGGACAGAGCTAAACTTGGAAGGACCCATGGGAGCTGGACAGGAAAGAGAGCAGGTATGTCCAGTTAGGTGAAGGCTCAAACAAAAGCAGGAGAGCAAAAATGAGGCAAAATTGAGATACCAATGAAATCAGTTTGGTTGGAATAAAGATTTGAGAAACAAAGAAAAGGGGGTAAAATTAGGATGGTAGGTTCAGGGCCAGCTCTGGAGGATCCTGAATGTCCATGAAGGGAGGCAGTACATCATTCTGGCTGAGAGTTGAACACTGGAAACAGAAACAGATCTGCATTTAAATCCCTGTTTTACTAACTGTGCATCTTGGGAAGACACCCAGCTTCAGTATCTTCATCTGTAAAATGGGTAGAGTAATAGTACCCATACATAGGGTTGTAGTGAGGACTAAAGAGATGTACATGTAAAGGCTTAACCTAGGGCCTGGCACCGGGCAAGTGCTCAATAAATGACAGCTGTTATTACTGAGGAGTTTAGACTATCTTATAGCAATGGTTACTGTTTTTATGTCCCAAAGATCTTGGAAAATCTGTTAGAAGCTATGGATTTTCTCGCCAGAAAAGATAAAACATACACACACAATTTTGCCTGTAACTTCAGGTCATTTATAAACCTTCTCACATCCATTCCAGATTCTAGAATCAAAGGAGGACCTCACTAACGGAGTGCTGCCCCACAGCAACAGCGAGGACATGAGAGAGTAGTCGAGGAGAGAACGGCAGGGGCAGGGCGAGCCGGCAGCAGGCTAAGTGTCCTGCAACAGTCTGGTCCCTCGGGGTGGGGGCAGAGGCAGGTCGCACACACAACTCCTCAGAGGTGCTAGTACAAGCGTGGCTTCTCCGGTCCTTCTGGACAAGGACAATGACATAACAGACTGTGTCCTCCCTCTCCGTTTGTCTTGGCTTCACCCAACTGAGTACCATGTTTGAGGCTTACCCAAAGCAACAAAGCAAGGCCTTTAGGCCTGCACATGTGTTCAGTCCCCCTTGGTCTTAACATTAAACTCTGTTTCTTTGATTCTTTTACTTAATAGATCTGTTTTTTATCTTTGTGGAAAGAGAAAGGGGACACATAGAAAAAGAATGGGGATGATGAAAACCAATGCTGATGATGATAATAATAAAAGGACAACGGCTAAAATGTACTGTGTTCTACATGCTTCGTAAGTTAAAAACTTATTGAATCTTCCACGTGGTAGGCACTGCTACCATGTCCATTTGACAGGCGAGGAAAACCGAGGCACTGAGATGTTCAGTAAACTGTCAGGGTCACAAAGCTCCCAAGTAGCAGAGTTGGGATCTGAATGTAGGGAGTTGGGCTTGTAGGCTTCTGCTCCAATAAACCACTGCCTTGATATGACTTTAAGGCTACTAGAGGAGAGAGGTACGAACATGTGACTGATACCAGAGGCTACATTTCAACTTCTCCCCCTGTGTGTCCGACACGCCAACATCCCAACAGTAACCTGGGGTACCCGTGAAAGACTCACACCCAGGAAATCAGCCGTCTCCCTAACAACCATGTTCCAGATAGTAACATCCAGATGAGCCATCACCCATACCTCTGGACATGGGAGATAGGGAAAGAAGTTGAGGAGGAACAAAATCTGGGGTTAGAGCTCCTTCTTCAAAGGGAGGAAATGTAATTTAAAGCTTGGATGCCCTTAGAGAGAAACACAATTTACCACTCCACTGGCAAAGAAACATTCTTTCTGTATTCTGGGGTTGATTTAAAAACCAAACAAATTTTTCTGGTGAAAACATATACCAGAGAGTAGAAACAAATCAGGCTAGAGCAGAGAGGGGAGTTGTAGTTCAGACACCTTTGTAGGAAGAGGCCCTGCTTGTCTCCTGGAGGACCAGCACTGTCTCGCTCTGCAGCTCACAGTAGTGATCTGCCACGGGAACCTTGGAGTTAGGTGGCTGGGACAGGGGATGCAAATGGGATCATAAAGGTTAACTCTGTTTCACCTAATCAATCTGGGAAGGAGTGGGTTACACAGGTTTATTTTCTCTTAGACTTCTAATAGGGTAATGGGCATCCTAAAATATCAAAAGAGCCTTTCTAAAGTCATCTAGTCTAATCTTTTACATCTACAGCCCCCAGAAAGGAAGTCGTTTGGTTTCTACTTAAAAACTTCCAGAGATGAAGAGATCACTCCTCACATTCATAAATAAAAAACCCTCAAACAACTTAAAAGTACGTTCTGTGGTTTCCCCCAGGACTGGGCCATAAACCACACTCAGGTAAGAGTCTCCACCTGAGTGTGTTGTGCCTCTCTCTACAGGAAAGGAACATGTCATGCGAGGAACTAGTATCCACCAATTAATCTAACTTTCTTACTCCAACCCACTGGTCCGTATCTCCAGGCCTGAATCCTCCATTAAGTCAGGAAATTGCTCTTCATCACTGTTGGAAGCGCACCCAAGTAGCAATAATTGAAGTTGGCCCTTACCTGGGGGCTGTGCCTCTGGACACTGAACTGGGGGTTGCCTGCGAAATGGTCACAATGTCTTCGTCCCCTCCATCCTCATAAAAGCTCGCTAGGGCGATCTGAAACAGAGAGGCAGTAACTTGGGATTCTTAAACAGGCCTTCATCTAACACATATTTCCTTTGAGTGCAAAAAAGCAAAATCACAAAGATATGGCCCACACTTATAAGGCGGGTCTCTATCTGGGGACCACAGAAAATGAGATGAAAAGATAGCAAGCAGACCAACCGTTTCTCTTCATATCACCTGAAACAAATTCCACCCACTAAGGTGAATAGAAGGCAAGAAGGAAGGCTGGGATGGAGTCACTCCTCATTCTCATTTTACTAGGAAACGTGCTCCAGTAAAAGCAGTGTACATTTATTGAGCATTTATTTATGTGCCACGTTGTTCTGAGCATAACTCTACATGTGTTAACTCATTTAATCCTCAAAGAACCATATGTAATTGGTGTTACTGTCGTCTCATTCTATAGTTGATACAGAAACACTGAGAAATTAAGAATATTGCCCAAAGTTAAGCAGTTGGTAAGGAGTAGAGCCAGGTCCCATCCCAGGCAGTCTGCTCAGGCCCTTACTCTCAGCTTTTATGTGACAGCCAGGAGTCAGCAACAGAGAGACTGGTCCAGATTGCTATGTTTACTTTCTCACTAAGGCCCAGTTTCATCATCTATGCAATGTAGACACTTGTCCCACCAACCCCACACAATGAATGAGAGGACCCATCAACATTCCTGCACAGTCATGCCTTAGCTCTCTATATCCAGAAGGTGTACGGGAGTCTTTTGGCCATTTGTGTTTGGTTGTTTCTCTCACTGACTTAACGGTTAGGTATTTACTAACCACATACTTTGTACAAAGAAATAAGAAAGAGCACTGAGGTCTATGGAGATGAAAAAGATAAGGTTCCTGTCCTCAAAATCACCAGCTTTATAGTAGGCAGTGAGCCTGTGTGGGACGTAATCAGCCTGTTAGGAGTGTGCCTTCATGGGATATAACCAGTCCCCTGGAGGCAGTGTGCTGTCATAGGACACACACTGAACTGGTATTGAGGGGGCCCTACATTCAAGTCCTGGCCCTGCCAGGCAAGTCATGTTTCACTCACGAGCCTCAGTTTCCCTACCTGTAGTGTGAGGAGACTGGGACTGATAACCTGGCAACTGTGTAACATTGTGAGCTTCTAGGTTTTCCAGGCCGTGGCTGCATTTTGTATTTCTGCCCTGCACAGGGGCTTCACAGTGTTTGTGTGTACAGGCGTGATGCTATACCTCTTTTACTCTGCGGAAGCAATTTAAATGGTGGAGTCAGCAGACCCAGTTCAAATCCCAACCTCACTATTTAATGGCTGTGGGATGTGACATATACTACTTGCCTTCTGACCTTCCAACCGCTCACCTATACAGCAGAGCTAAGTCTTCTCTACCTCAGTGTTGCTAGGATTAAACAAATCATCACCTGTAAAGTGTCTGGCACTTGGTGGTTCAGAGCCTGAACCACTTGGTGGTTCTTATCCACTTGGTAACTAGTGATGCCTTGAGCAAGTTACCTAACCTCCCTAAAGCTCAGCTGCAAAATGCAAAGATTAAGTAATTTAAGACACGTAAAGCAGTTAGAACAGCACCTGGCTCATGGCAGGGAATCAAGAACTACTAATCTTCGTCATCCACCCAAGACGCAGGCTAACCAAGACCATTTACGCAATTCTTTCTACAATTAATTACTGAGCGCCCATTATGAGCCAGGAGCAGTTCTAGGTACGGGGGATTCAACAATTTACAAAAATCCTCCCTCGTATAGCTCATCTTAATGCCTTAATTAACAACTATTTAATGAATACGTAATATGTGCCCGTACACTAGACGATAAATTCCACGAGACTCCCATTTTACAGATGACTTAACTAGGGAAGACGAATAGGCTCCAAGGTTACGCCACCACCCTGGAGATACTCTCCCAGGAACTGGGTAGGAGGGGGCGTGGGCCAACTCCTGGGCCGGGCTGCTCCCACCACCTGCGGCAGGAGCGGCGTAAAGGGAAATAAACGATCACCTCGTCGCCGGCGCAGCTCCACCCCGGACCGAGTCATTCCCGCCGGCCCGGCTCCAGCCGAGCCTCGGCGCGGCCGCCACGCCCCCAGGCTCCCCGCTCCACGCGGGTCGCGCCAGTGCCCAAAGTCTCGCTGACCCCACCGGCGGGCGAGGCGGAGGGGGAAAGCGAGGCCCGGCAGAGCAGGGCCGGGCCGGGGCTGCCCGGCGTTTCCCCACGCCCAACCGAGCTGGCGACGCGTGGCAAGCGGCCTCAGAACTCTGAGGCCTGGGTCGGGCCGCAGCCCGGCGGGATGACTGTGCGCTTCGGCCACCGCGGGCTTGATGCGCCAGACGCCCGCCTCCCGCAGCCCCTGGCCGGCCCGACGCAGCCGGCTCCGCGCCGCTACCTGCAGGTCCCAGCCGGCCGACTCGAGGAAGAAGCGGGCCCGGTCCTCCTCGGCCCCAGTCACCGCCACGAACTCCCTCACCGCGTCCTGTCGCTCCGCCGCCATCTTCGCCCTGTGCGCCGCCTGAACCGCTCCGGCCGCCGCCGCACAGCCTCAGCCCCGCAGCCGCGTTCCGCCCGCTGGTCGACCCGGCCCAGCCGAGCGGCGCCCGCCCGCAGGCCCCGCCCCATGCGGTGCCTCACGCAAAGCCCTCCGTGCGGGAAACGCTCCCTGCTCCGCGCCCTCTGGCGGCCGCGGTGCGGACCGCCAGCCTAAGGGCCGGGGTGGAAGCCGGGCGGAGGAGGAGAGGCGGGGCGGATCGTCCCCGCACCTGTAGGATGAAGAATCTCTGAAGGAGTCAGATCCACAGTTCTTCATTGATTCGTTCCTTCATTTGATTCATTTATTTATTCGTTCATTCACTTCCTTGTTCACCTATTTACTGAATGCGATCAAAGGGCCTGGTGCTCTTCCAGGGATGGGGACAGGTAAAGAGCAAAACAAAGTCCCTGCCCTCACATTCTAGGGGAAGAAAATAGACCTGAAACAACAGGTCCCTCCTCCGCTCCCAACACGAACGTGCCTCCCGGTCTCACACCGCGTAGCAGACAAAATCTCCTGGCCTGCAAGACCGGTGTGAAATACGCCAGCCCATCCATCTCATCTCCTAGGCTTCCCACTAAGTTCCTCTAACCCAAGGCACACTCCCTTCTTGCTGCCAGGCGCGCATTTGCTTCAGAGCCTTGCCAGCGGCGGCGATTCCCTTTTCCTTTACTGGTGGGCAAGGTGTTCCCCCACTTTCTTCAGGCTCCTGCTCCAAGGGCACCTTCTGAGACCCAATCCCGTCTTTTAGGTCCTCAGCTTCTTTGCCCTCTTGTCTCTTGCCATCCTGCCTGGGATTCTCTTCTCTTCCTCTTTCCTTTGTCAGCTTCTGTACACCTCCTCCCCTCAGTTTTGGTATTCCCTCTTCAAGGAGGCCTTCCTATGTCCCTGGGCTCTCTATCAGACATCTTTGTGCATGCCCCGTGACACCTTGTTAAGTGTTAGCCTTCCCCAAGGGCCACCATCCTTGTGACAGAAGAGGCTGTGGCTGTCTCTGGCACAATATGGCCTATCAGCACTCACTCTGGACTCAGCCTGGGGTTGAAGCCCAGACATTACTGCTTGTAGGATCTTGAGTGGATTACCTCTAGCTTCAGTGTCCTGATGGGTAAATGGGGCTCCTTACAGTACTTAAGAGGGATGTGTGAGGATCCAGCATGAACTGCTCTGCTTGACACTTACTAAGCCCTCTGCAAATGTTAGGGGTCATTTTATCTCCTGGGACCTGCAGTCACTGGTATTAAATAGCCACTTGATGATCCTTTGCTGAATTAATGAAGGAATGAATGAATGAAACCAAGTATCTGAGCATCCAGAGGAGACATTCAAGGTCAGAATCTGAGGACAAGGATGCAGGGCAGGTACCTGGACCCTTGATGAGTGGTGAGCTGACTCTGGGATGTGATCCAATTTCAGTAAATACAACTTCTCCTTTTCCATAAAACAGATGGTGGGGAGAAATGGCCTGAGCCCTCCGACCCATACATGTGCCTTTCCCAAGTGAGGTGGCTGCAAAGACATTGCCCTCAGTGTTCATCATGGCTGCAGGCTGGACTCTCGGGGACAAGCTGGGTGGTGAGGGCAGGCCTCGAAGGCGCTGGAACACAACTTGGCAAACCTAGTGGAGTTGAAGAATCATGAAACCTAGATCCCCTGCCAAATCCACCTGTGGGTGTTCACCCCACGTAAATGCTGGCCTGCGCACACCAGGAGACACGACAACACTGTTTCTGGGGGCGATAGTGAGAGAATAGAACAACTCAGGTCTCCAACCTCAAGAGAATCACAAATGTGATGTTTTGCTCCAGTGGAATATCATATAGCCGTGAAGATGCATGACTTAGACCTGCAGGTAACCAACCTGGATAAATCTCGAATGTGGAGCCAAAAAAGCAAGGTTGGGGATGGTATGTGGAGTAAAGTGCCATTATATAGTACCATCTAGATAGTTTAGAAACATGTAACACCATGCTTGGCTAGGCCTGGCACCCCCTACCGCCCCACTCCCAGCCCAGGGACCCAGATGCACTCTGAGCTGTGTGTGTGTGTGTCTTATGGGCGGTAGTGGGGTATACTTGACCAGGCCAGGCACCCTCTCTTGCCCCACTCCAGCACAGAACCCTCAAGGCTGTCATCCTCAGGGTGGCAGGATGCAGGAAACCTCTGTCTGTCCTCCTCTTCCTCTGGCTCTAGGCCTTCTCTGCAGGAGCAAGTGGGAGGCCTTGGAGGCCCAAGGAGAATAATGTGAACAGACCCATCTCTCTCATTAGGAGCTGCCATGGAGGCCAGGCCTGGGCAGGCTTGATGGGGGTTTTCTGGGGAAGACAGAGGAGAGGGCAAGAACTATCAGTGGGGAAGGAAGGAAAGAAAGAAGAGGAGCAGGAAAGGAGAAAACAGAATATGTGGGAAGAAACCGATGCTTTGATTCAGGGAGACCTGGAGGACAACCATTGACCTCAAGAGGTCTAGATCCTGAGGCTCAAGCAGGATGAGCCTCTGGTGGGAGCTGTGGACCTGGGGCCCACCCCCTTCTCTGTCTTTGGTCGGTCATCTTGCCTGTGTAGGGCTCCAGGCCTCAAAGCGGGGGCTGGGGGCAGGGAGGGCTGAGCAGCTCCGACTCCAGTTCCTTCCCCACTCTTTCAATCTGTCAACTGCAGGTTTTCCTGAGTGCCCACCAAGGGCCCTGCATTACCCATGGTTTGCTTTATTTGCCAGCACCCTCTCCACCCCTTCTGGGGACTGCTCCTGCCCACATATCCACTGGGCCTGGCACAATTAATGCCTTACATGCACCAATGCATTTCAGCCTCAAAATGACCTAAGAAGGGAGATGCTGATGTCATTACCAGTTTATGGATAAGGAAACCGAGACACTCTGAGAGAACTCACCCAAGAGATGAATAGGAGAACTGGAATTTGAATCTGGGTTGATTCCCAAGACTGTGGATTTTACCTCTACCTACACCCCCTCAGATGTTACAGGGGTGTAATATGTGCCAAGCACCTGCTTGGTGCTCATGATTCCTGTGCCATGTCAAGCACACTCCTGCCTCAGGGCCTTTGCCCTTGCTGTTCCTTATCCTATTATGCTTTCCCCTCAGATATCTATAAGGCTCTCTACCCACTCCCGTCAGGTCTTTGCTCAATTGTCACTTTACCTGTAAGGACCCTTCCAACCACCCTAAATAAAATGTATCTCCTCTCCCTTGCTCTGGTACCCCCCTCCCCCGCTTCTGCCTTATTATTCCTTTAGCACTCACCACCATGTGACATGTTGCTTACCTACATTTACTTGCTCATTGTCTGTCTTCCCCCAGTAGTAGGTATGCCCTGAGAGAACAGACTTTTCTCTTTAATTCTCAGTACACTGATGGGTGCCTGGCTCATTGTTGGCCTTCAACCACTCTTTATGACTGAGTGGCAGGGGCTACAATGGTGAAAAGCGAGGCCCCTGCCCTCAGTAAGCTCAAATTCTAGAGGAGACAACTGGCCATCCTGAAGGAAATACACACACGTTTGTTTCAGGCAGCAGTGAGTGCCCTGAAAGACACATCCACTGCATGAGGGCAATGAGAGGGATGGAGATGTCCTGGTGGACGGAGCCGTCTGGGAGCCCTCATGAAGGAAACAGTTGAGCAGGGAGACTTGGATGAGTTAGGGAATGTGGCGTGGCTAACACCCAGGGGGGGTGTCAGGGCGGAGTCAGTTTAGGGGGTGGTGGTGGGAGATGCGACTGGGGAGGGGGGTGGTTTGCAGGGACCAGATGGTGCAGGGCCCACCAAGTCCCGGAGGTTTCGGGAGCAGAGCAGTTCTTCCAGAGGCTCGGTTCCATGCTTCCTTCCCTGCTGTTATTTTCTGGGGCTGCTGTGACAAATGACCACAAACCTGGTGCTTTCGAACAACAGAAATTTATTGTCTCATCATTCTGAAGGCCAGAAGTCTGAAAGCAGCATCACTGGGCAGGAGTCAAGGTGTCAGTGGGCCCTGCTCCCTCTGGAGGCTCTGGGAGAGAAGCTGTTCTGGCTTCTTCCAGCTTCTGGGTACTCCTGGCATTCTTTAACTTGTGGCCACATCACTCCAATCTCCGCCTCTGTGGTCACATTGCTGTCTTCTCCTCGGTGTCAAATCTCCCTCCGTCTCTCCCTTGTCACTCGTGAAAGCATTTAGGGCCCACCTAGATAATCTAACTTCCATCTCAAGATCTTTAATTCCAGCTGCAAAGTCCCTTTTTGGCCATGTGAGGTTGTAGTCACAGGTTCCAGAGATTAGGACATGGATCATCTGGCAGGCGGCTATTATTCTGATGTCTGGTCACTCAATGATTTATGCAATTCTCAGACTACACTAGCGTCCCCTTTGGCTTAGGTTTTGCAAGCTATTTTTCTGTTGTCATAATGAAAAACAGCCAGGCTAATACACTTCCCCTCAGAGTGGGTGCTAGTAAGTGTTCACGTGGAAAGCAAAAAGGGAGCTCACAGGTACTGAGTGTACCCAGAGCACACAGCATATAGGAAGCCCTCAATAAATGAATCCAATTAGTTCTTAGACAACGCAGAGAAGTCCATGTTATGATCTGTGTCCACATTATTATCCATGAGGGTCCAAGAGATGAAGCGACTGATTAGTCACTAAAGGCATACGGGGAGGGAGTGGGGGCTTCAGGATTGCAAGCCAGGCATGTCACACTTTCCCCTACATTGGGCTTCTCGGCCCCAGCACCACTGATGCTTTGGACCAGAAAATTCTTTGTTGTGGGGGCTGCCCCTGTGCATTTTAGGATGTTTAGCGGCATCCCTGACCTCTACTCACTAGACGGTGATAGGCAGTTGTGACAACCCCCAAGTTGTGACAACCAAAAGTGTCTCTACACATTGCCAAATGTACACTGGGGGAAAAAACCTCCTCTTCTTGAGAACTACTGCTCTCGATTATACTCCCTAGTGGAGGTGGTGGTACAAAGAGGTGCTGTTTCAGCTGGGAATTGAACTCAGAGCGAGGAAACAGCTTCTCCTTGCCACCGAGGTAGACATTACTGGTTATCTACTG